TTTGTAAATCAGTTTTTAAAAATTAAATAAATAAAACTATATTAACCCTTTAAGCAAGGTTTTATCATCTTTATAATTTAGGAATGATATAATATGAGCACAGAAATTTCTATCATTTATATAACTAAAAATAGACTAATAATCTTCTGATAAATAGCTAAAATAGTGTAAAATCTAACAAATTTAATCGTTCTCAGCAGAAATACTTGACTGGATAAAAATAAGGTCAGGTCAAGAGTGGTGGGTCACGCCTGTAATCCTAGCATTTTGAGAGGCTGAGGCAGGAGGATTGCTTGAGGCCAGGAATTCAAAACCAGCCTGAGCAAGAGCAAAACCCCCGTCTCTACAAAAAATAGAAAAATTAGCCAGGTGTGGTGGTGCATGCCTGTAGTACCAGCTGCTTAGGAGGCTGAGGCAGGAGGATCCCCTGAGCCCCGGAATTTGAGGTTACAGTGAGCTATGGTGACACCACTGCACTCTAGCCCAGGCTACTGAGTGAGGCCCTTTCTCAAAAAAAAAAAAAAGTTCAGTGTTAACTGATGGAAATAGGGATTATGTTTTAAAGTAGTCTTAATATGGTTAATACAAACAAGCACAAAGCTTTAGATTAAAATATTCTTAGTATACACATAACAAATTATTTGGTCTTATACTGGTGAAATGTACTATGTGATTTTGAAAATTTCTCATATTTTAAATGAATATATATATTGTATTCGTGTATTAAATGTCTCATTGAGTTGATGTCACTTAAATCATTTATAAAAGTGAATAGAAGTAGGCTGCACCTAATGAAAATTTAAAAGCTTATAATAAAAATTAATGTTTGTACTAAATATTATGATTTTATTAAGGGGAAGTCATTTGTGAGTTCTTCCTTTTTTTAAACAACTATATACATTTTTGTCCCAATCCATCAAAACTAAATTATTTCATTTAAATACTTCACCTAGAAATTTCATCTTCTAAACACAATAACAGGGTCAAAGAATTAGAGAATTTAAGAGCTAGAAGAATCTTCAGGAAACATCCAGTGTAGGAGGGGATCCCAAACTTTAATTTGTATCAGAAGTCCCTGTGGTTCTTGTTAAAATGCAGATGGCCGGGCCCCCACACCACCTATCTGACTCAGTAGGCCTGGGGTGGAGCCTGGAAATAACCAGTGCACCCCCAACCCCACCCTAAGGTGAGTCTCATGTAGGTGGTCTGCGGATCACTGAGAGGAACAACACTACCACCTTCCTCCCTAAATCAGGAAACTTCCCAGAACATTGACATCCCACTGAGGCAGTTTCTGCCTCAAACTACTGCTTCCTCAATCCCTATGGGTTAACTCACTGCATCCTGGGGCAGCTCTATACATCTAACAGAAGCTTCTAATAGAAACCAATACATTCAAAATATAAAGTCATTCAACGTGGGCTTATACAAATATAAACAGTACAAAGATTCATTGAAGAATTAAGTGAATGAAGAACTGACCTGCTTCTTCTGGTATTTGTTTATCAGATTCAGAAACAAGGCATAACATCTGGAATAGTTGGCCAAGGCTGCACAGCAGTCACGGTAAGAAGTAAGTTTGCTGCAGAAATGCCAAATGGGAAAATAAAAGTAAACTTTGTTTTTCTATAAAATTCAAGTACAAATAGTATTAATATCAATTTAAATGCAGACCTTCAAAGCATTGCCCAGTTCAAGAAAAGCAGTCTAAAAATACTTTCCATACCAGTTCAGAGAAGCTGTCAGGAGGCTTGCTGTTTGCTCTAGACTCTGGAAAGATGGAGCAGGGAAACTAAAAAAGGTCCTTTGAAAAACAGAAACCTGAAGCCTGTAATACATGTGAGTGGTGTGAATTCATACTAGCACTTGGTTCAGAAAATACAAACTAAGTAATTTGCATGAAATCTTGTTGGATATCAGTGAATCCCCTGGGATCCCATCAGAAGCAAATGTAAAACTGCTCTAATATTCTAGGCTGGAGTGCTATACTAGTATTAGGCAAAAGAGATCTTAAGGCAAAAAGCCTTAAAAATAGCTTCAAAATTTCTAAAGCAAGAAAGCAAACAAAATCCACAAGGCAATATTGATGCACCCACATCAAATTTGGGAGATGTTCATAAATTTCTCATTAATTAATGAGTCAATAGGTAAAATATCACTAATAATTTTAAAACTTGACCATGTACCAGGCCGTAAACAAATCTCAGTAAATTTTCAGAGAACTGGTGTCTCATAGACCACACTCCCCAAAGTGCAATTAAATTAGAAACCAATTTCAAAACTACATTTTTTAAAAAAACATATTTTTGGAAATTTAAGAACATGCAACTTATGGGTCAAAGAAACATGAAAATAAAAAATACTTAGGAATAATAAAAACACTACAAATCAAAATTTGAAGTACACAGGTAAAGTAGTATTTTAGAGGAACATTTATAGTCTTAAGGAGGCTGAAAAGAATTGAGTTTCTAACTAAAATAGAAGAAAAATATATCCACAGAGAGTAGAAGAAAGGGATTAGTAAGGATAAGAGCAGAAGGAATCAGATAGGAAACATATAATAAAATGGATAAATGAATCTATTGAATCTTTGCAAAAACTAATAAAAGTGGCAAAATTTGGCAAGATTGAACAAGAAAAAAAGAGAAACAGCATAAATAATCAAAAGAAAATCAATATTAACAATGAAGAGGCAGTATAACGTAGGGGTTAAACGTATGCATTCTAGAGCCAGACTACCAGGTGTGAATTGCAGCTTTACAACTTACTAGCTATATGATCTTGGGAAAATTACTGAATTTCTATATGCCACCGTTTCCTTATATGTAAAATGACAATGACAATAATAGTACCTATATTAAAAAGTTATTATAAGGATTAAATGGATTAGTATTTGGAAAGTCCTTAGAATATTGCCTGGCATGTAGTAAGTGCCATATGAGTAGTTATTGAATAAGTAAAATAAATAAAAGAGGACATAATTAGAGATGCAACAGAGGCTTGGATTGGTGGCTCACACCTGTAATCCTAGCACTTTGGGAGGCCTGAGGTGGGAGGATTGGTTGAGGCCAGGAGTTTGAGAGATGCAACAGAGATTAAAATGGTAATAAGAGAATAGTTGGAATTTATGGTGTTTGAAAACTTAGATAAAATGGACAATTTCCTATAAAAGCATAATGTTTTGAAACTGAACCAAGTAGAAATAAGAAATATGACTAAATATACAACCATGTATAAAGAATTTAAATCAGTAGTCAATAATATTCACACATGTACACACACACACACACACCCCGGATAAAAATAGCTTTTTGAGCAAGTTCTACATTTAAAGAAACAGATAAGTTTTATTTTCACAAATTCTTCTAGAAAAGAGAAAATGTTGGAAATATTTCCCAACTCATTTTATAAGGCTGGTATAAACTTAACACTAAAACCAGACAAGGACAACGTAAGAAAGGAAAGTACAAGTCAATCTAACTCATGACCACAGATGAAAAATCTTAAACAACATATTAGTTAACCAAACCCAACAATATATAAATGGCTTAACATGAGAAAATCTATTAATGTAATTTACTACATTCATGAATTTGAAAAAAGAAAATCCATATACTCAAAAGAGATTCAGGGACTTTGATGAAACTTAACATCCATTAATGAGAAAAAAAATCCTTCCTTAACCTTCTAAAGGGTAGCTACAAAAACCTGCAAAAAATATTATTTTCAACTGGTGAAACCATAAAAATATTTCCTTTAAAGTCAGAAGAAAGACAACAGGCCCAACACTCACAATTTTGTACTGGATTCCTCAGCAATGTGATAAAAGAGGTGGGGACAAAGAGGAAGAGTTGCAATAATTGGAAAACAACAAAAAAATTAAACTTATTTGCAGATAATTTGCATAGAAAATCCAAGAGAATCTATAGACAAATGCTTAGTCCTAATGTTCATCAAGATTCCTGAATACAAGATTAATAAGCAAACATTGATACTATTCATATATATTCATAAGCAACAACTTATGAGAAAATAATTTTTTTAAGATTGTATCCATATTTGCAGCAAAAACCATGAAGGACTTAGGAATAAATCTTGCAAAAGATGTGCAAAACCCTCATTGGAAAAAATGATGAAATTTTATTGAAGGACATAAAAGAAGATGTCATAAATGTTTATGGATGAAAGGTTCAATATCATAAAGATGTTAATTCTCCCTATCCCTATCCCATTATTCTATATACTCAGTATAATTGCATTAAAAATCCCAGAGTTCCAATTGTGGATCTTAGCTAATTCCCCAATTCAAAAGGAAGAGAAAAGAACAAAAAGAGTCTGGACCTTAAAGGAGAAAAAAGTGAGCGATTCATCTAATCTTACAACAGGACTTAAATCTGCAATAGTAAACATGGTGTGGTATTGGTCTGAGGATGGCCTGAACAGAATGCCCAGAAACAGACCTACAAGTATATGGAAACTTATGCATGGCTGACAAAATCAGTGGGAAAAGAATGGCGTATTCAATAAAAGGTACTGGAACAATTGACCATCCACGTGGAAAAAAAAATTAAATTGGACCCCTACGTGCCACCATAAGCAAAAATAAATTCTTTGTGATTTTGCAATGATTCAAAATGGGAGTAGTCATTAAGTATCCAGAACAAAGCTCAAGACAGTGCAGTGTAAAAAGATCAAATATAGACTCACATCCTCATACTGGGATCAATTACCAATTCATTCTTCAGGAAATTTTGTATTTCTTTAAACAACTACAGTATCATCGTTCAAGAAAGGCCCAGGTCTCCTAAGAAGTATCATTATGTAAAAACACTGGCAAAGAGCAGTGAGGGAGGAAATATAAATGCGTAATTTAAAGACAGTTCTGAAATTTAACATCTTGCTTTGAGGCAACCTGGATTCAAATGATCATCATTTCTGGAGTAAATAAAGTAAATGTAAGCATGACTAGTGAATTCGTGACCCAAAGTTCAAACAACTGAAATAAAATAACCTTCTATTACAAACCAAGTCAGATCAGACTATCTAAGCATTGACTCCCTTTCTGAGTTAAAACTCTTAAGTATTGTTTCCAAGTACACCAGAAAGTTTGCCATGTTTTGTGATATAGTTCTTTATCTCCAATGAGCTGAGAGGAAGATTAAAACAAACAAGCGTACACACGACAGATAGTCACAACTCACCAAAGAACTAAAGTCACTTACAATCAATGAATTTAGACTCACGTAGAAAATGGAGTCGTTAGTTTAAATCATTCATTCTAAACTTGGGCCACTAGATTTACCTTTTCTGCAAGGTGAAGTAGAAAGCAAAAAAAAAAGGTTCCTTGCCAGTCACACATGCAAATATTAAAGACAACCCAAAATCTAAGTATCAGCTTTTTTGTAAGGCTACTTCGATCTCTTAGTCTGCCCACCTGAATATCCTGACAATATTGGTACAGACGTCCTTGTCACCCACGTACTGTTCCATCACCGTGCACAGCTGGGGAATGGCACTGATGCTCAGCAACTTACTTCTTGCCAGCGGTGAATCAACCAAGTTTCTCAATGTAGCAGTCACCTAGGATAAAAGCATCCTTGTGACATTTTTTTAAAACTGAAAAAATATGGTCACACTAAACAGCACAGCATAATTCATCCCATAAATATCCTTACATCAGTAATCAAACCAAGCCCCAATATGCATCTCCCACCAGAGAATGTGGGCCTAGGCACAAGCAGCAAGAAATGAAAACAAAGAAAACCTGAAAAGGTAAAGAATGGAATATTATTACTAACAAGCAATTAGTAGACCCCAAAACCCAGGGTTAAACTGATCATCATCTGAGTTTGTTATAATAACAGTCATAAAATGTTCAGTTGACCCTGTAATAGCCATATCTGTTCAACAGATTAGAAAATTCCTTTTTTTCCCTTTTTTATTGTGTGTTTGTTTGTTTTTAAGACAGAGTCTCACTCTGTTGCTCTGGGTAGAGTGCAGTGGCGTCATCATAGCTCACTGCAACCTCCAACTTCTGGGCTGAAGCAATCCTCCTGCCTCGGCCTCCCCGAGTAGCTGGGACTACAGGCATGAGCCACCACATACAGCTAGTTTTCCTATTTTTTGTAGAGATGGGGTCTCGCTCTTGCTCAGGCTCGTCTTGAACTCCTGGCTCAAGTGATCCTCCCGCCTCAGCCTCCCAAAGTGCTGGGGTTACAGGCGAGAGCCACCACACCCAGCCTGAAAATTTTTGTCCTATATTTTTATAAGTAGCATCAAATGATGATGTGGCTGAGGAATATTTAAGACCTTTAGTCTCATTCTCTTCCAAAAGGTAAATATTGAGATCCTCCAAATTTGTCTTATTTTGTAAAAAAAAAAAAAAAAATCAGGAAAGCTATCCACTTTAGTCTTAGTCTAAGAGTCAAGAAGAGAACAATTTAGTAAATCCATAAACCTAAAGTTTCTGTCATCTAGTAATTTTAATATGCAGTGTGGTCTTTCCCTGTGAGATGGCGCAGGCAGGCTACTGATTAAGGGTCAGCGTAGCCCCCCAGTCACTAGCCTGGGTCGGCTATATAACCTCCCAGAGCACATTGTCTCATGGGAAAAGTGGAGGTGGCAATAGCTACTCAGTGGTTGCGATGATCCAGTGAGGTGGCGTGTGAATGGCACTGCTGGTGCCTGTTTCCTAAGGGTGCTTGAAAATCATGGACCCATCACCTTCACGACAAATGACAGGGATTCAAGTCCCAAGTCTCTTCCTAGGTATGTGACTGAGGGCAGTCCCTCATTCCTCAACTTCCCCATTTCCTCATCTGTGAAAAGGGACCACAGTCACTGCTCACCTCTCCAGTGGCTGTGTGTATCAAATGGAAAACACATAGTAATATTTTTATACATTGTAAAGCATTATGTAAATATAAAGCAACATTATAGCAATAGTTAATAATCTTTCAGAAATAATTATTAAGATGCCGTGTATCTCTGGTTTTCTCTTGCAACAACAGCAACAAAAAGATTTTATAAGTTAAAATATAACTGGCTACCTTGAAAACAGAAAATTTAAAAACACTTCAAATAAATGTATACATGTCTTTTGGAGTCAATTCAATTATTTAACAGTTGAGTAAATTCTTCCCTGAAAGTTTCAGTATCCCAGACACTGGAGGGGAAACAAACTACTCAAGCATTCCACTCAACCATGGATCTACAACGTGATCTTCTAAGCAAAGGAATGGTTTTTTTTGTGAAGACTAACGAACCATTCTAGGAATTCCAGGCCATTGCTGCCATAAAATGGAAAATTCTCCTCATCTGACCTTGGCTCTACCTGTTCTCTTTCTTCTGAGACAGCCCAGGCACTGGAGCACTACTGGTTTATGTCAATCCAAAGGATGACTCACAAACTCCCCTCCATGCAGACCAAAGAGCACAGATGCCCATTTGAATCCTAGGCAGATGGAAACCATGGAACACCCATTCCAGTCTCTGCGCACACAAACAGTTCCTTTTCTCTGGTTCTCAAGGCCTCAAAGATTGAGCACCCAATTCATAGTCACCTCTTTTTTTGGGGAGTGGGGTCTGAGCCCATAGCCCTCCCCTGGCCCACAGTCACCTTCTTGCTCCCCACATCTAATCTCTGGCAAGGGACATTGCCAGCAAAAGAGACCATAGTTTACTTAAGAGCTTTTTTCCTGTTTCAACCTCAGTTTTTTCTCCCTCTCAACCCTTATTCTTACCTCTTTAAAAAAGTTAAGACTGCTCAAGGTTTGTTGTTTTTTTTTTTTCCCTTGAGACAGAGTCTCACTCTGTTGCCCAAGGTTAAAATGCAGTGGCATCATCATAGCTCACTGCAACCTCAAACTCGTGGGCTCAAGTAATCCTCCTACCTCAGCCTCCTGAGTAGCTGGTACTACAGGTGCATGCCACCATGCCCAGCTAATTTTTAATTTTTTGGTAGAGACAGGGTCTTGCTACTTTGCTCAGGCTGGTCTCAAACTCCTGGCCTCAAGTGATCCTCCCACCTCAACTTTCCAAAGTGCTAGGATCACAGGTGTGAGCCACTGCACCCAGCCCAAATGCACTTTATAGATGACCCAAATCAGGAGTGGAAGCACACAATTATCATTGTTATTATTATTATTTTTTTTGAGACAGAGTCTCACTCTGCCCTGAGTAGAGTGCCATGGTGTCATCCTGGCTCACAGCAACCTCAAACTCCTAGGCTCAAGTGATCCTGCTGCCTCAGCCTCCCGAGTAGCTGGGACTACAGGCACAGCTCGGCTAATTTTTCTATTTTTAGTAGAGACGGGGTCTTGATCTTGTTCAGAGTGGTCTCGAACTCCTGAGCTCAAGCAATCCTCCCGCCTGGGCCTCCCAGAGTGCTGGGATTACAGGCGTGAGCAACTGTGTCTGGCCAGAAGCACACAATTATACGTGACATGTCATCTGATTGAAATCCCTATCAATTTACTGCACATGCCACATTCTGTGGAGAACACACAGTTGAGTGAGATATTTTAAATATATCCAAATTTGTCAGTTGTTGTGCTGCTAGAAATAACATGTATGAAATATATATCACACACTAGAAAAATCCATGGTAATACCTCAATAGATGACACCACCATCAACCTAGTTGCTCAAGCCGCAAACCTCAGAGCCATCCCAGAATCCTGCCTTGCTGCCTCCTGTCACCCTAAGCCCTCCTGGCTTTCTGTCATAGTTCCCAAGATAACATACAGTTCCCTGACCATGGTCTATGTGGCCCTCTAGATATGGTTTTCACCAACCCCTCAAACTTCATTCCATACCCTATACCCCCCACAAATTGACTTAATGTCAGGCTACCTAATATGTTTTACCATCTGTCTATTTCTCTAGAAGATTCAGTGAGGGCATAAACCTCATCTGTCTTTTCACCATTGTGCCCCCAGGTCCAAGTCCACGGCCTGGCACACAGTGGGCCCTCCATGAGCATTTGTTGGTGGAATGAATGAATGGAAGAATATCCGCAAAGGAAAGACCTGGTGTAAACAAAAGGGTTAGGATATCAGAGAACCATGGGTTATCAGATAACAGAGAGACTTTAGGATGAATTTAAAGAAGCAGAGGAATAAAAAATAATGGATGAAAGAAAACTGGACTTTCTGGAAGGGGACTGGCTTCCTGTACATTCACTGCTTATTCTACCTCATTCACCACAGCAGCTCCTTCCCACCCCCCGCCCCTTCCCCAACTGACAGGTCACCTGTTCCACCTCTTTTCTCCATCAGCAGGGAGAGAAGCTTAAGCCCTCTTCATCTCTCACCCACACTCTGCAGACGCTGACTGGCTCCTTCCACAGTCCCTCCCCGGCCAGCCCTTCTCCCCACAGCCGTCCAATGCTGCCAGAGGGGGCATCTCAAACCCAGCCTTCCCTGTTCAAAGGCCTCCTCCAAACTTCCAGGCCCAGCGGGCAGCACCCATAGCCGAAAGGCGGTTCACCCTCAGAAGTGCGACCCATCCCTCCAAGCTCATCCCTTTCTCCTCTCCTTCCTCTCCCTCCTCCCCTTCCTCTCCCTCCTCCCCTTCCTCCTCCTCCTCCCCCTCTCCTCCCCTTCGCTCCCTCCCCAGCCATTTTTCAGACTCTGCAACACACAGCACCCTCCCTTCCTGCCACCAGGCCTTTGGACAGGCCACTTTCTCCATCCAGAGTGTTCTCCCTGACCCCACTCCTCCACCCCTTCTCCCACTGGCCGTCTCCTGCTCGTTTTCAGGACCCAGCTCAGGCTCCTTTCTCCTCCAGGAAGACTTTCCAGAGGCTCATCAATCTCTGCCTCATCCATGTTAACAAATCTTCCTGTTCCTGCCTCCACAGCGCAGAATCATCACCGCTTGTCTCACGCACCTTCTTTCTCTCCCATGGTCAGCTCCTCTAGTGAACAGATCATTTCTTACTCCTCTTTCTACTCAGAGTACAACAAATGTGCTCATAAAAAGATTTAAATGTTCAATTGCTGGCTGGCTGGCTGGCTGGGTGAACGAGAAGGGGAAAGGGGAGAGGAATGAGGAGGGGGATGAAAGAAAGAAGAAGGGACAAGGGAGACAGAAAAAGGCAGTTTTTCCCTTTCAGAAGCCTCTGGCAAGAAAGTGCAGGGGTTTAGTGGGAGGCTGGGGAACCAGGGCTTAAAGCCCTGAGGGAGAAGGATCAGGAAGCCCTCCCCAGGCAAATGCAGCTCTGAAGGGCCCCATTCTGAGAGACCACCACCAATCCCACTGGGGGTTGGCGGTGGGGCACTGAGTGCTGAGACCAGTGGCCTTTTCTGGGAAAAGTGGAAAAAGATGGGTGGGAGGAAAAAGCCAGCTAAATAATGTGGTCATAGCGAAGGCTAGTTCCAAGCCAACACACTCAACTCCGAATTTTGCTCTAATTTTTGAATTCATTGTATATAAGTGAAAATTAAAAATCACATAAGAACTCTGAGTTGCACAGAGATAAATCTGTGGAGATCATTAATGAGTCCTGGCTCTGCAGCAGTCTTTGTTTCCCACCCCTGGGCCTGACCTTGAAGCAGGAAGACACCAGAGTCCAAGCT